AGGTCTCTCGCTTTCCAGTACAAAACCATACACAACCAATTGTATTATACTCACCTCCAGGTAGGTGGGGGGTCCCGCATGTTCTTGCTTTGGTTCTGCGCTTGCGCCGACGGCCGCGCGGAGACGCGCCAGGCAGGCGGAGAAGGTGCGAGCACGCATCCAGCAGATCAACCAGCGGCCTGGCCAGTGTGGTAGAGTGCCGTCCGGGGAGCATCCGTGGAGCATTCATGAGGTCCTGTTTGGACAATCAGCTCCCCCCAAAAATGATTTGAGTCCGTGGACTTGACACTACTTCGAGTCACATCGCGAAGTCGCCAAAAAAAGCGGTTTCGATGGCAGAAAATGGGCGACTGTCTTGGAAGGCGACGTTGAGGGACTTTCAGGAACACCTCCCCAGTGGGTTTCCATTGAAACCTCGTGAACCGGGTCACCCGAGGTCACCCGAGGCCGGGTCTGAACATGGGACCAGACTGGAAGATGAGGAATTCCTCCACCCAGTGGTTCTCAAGTGCCATGTGGGTCTCAGGTTCCATGGTGTTTGAAGTTCTCGATTGAAGTTTTGGGATGTCCCTACAATTGATCGTGTTCATGTATCACTGTATCACTGTATCTTTCAGCCAGTCGGGGTTAAAGTTCTGTCGAGTTTCAACTGGACGTTTGCATTGCCAGTTTTCATCCACTGTCACTCAACCATTGGTTTTTGCCAGGCAGCCAGGATCACAGCCCAGGCAGCCACCAAAGGCCCACGGATCACAGCTTTGTCTCCATCGCTGATCCAGCGGTATCACGCGTGAAATCGGGCGCAGAGGGGGCGTTTTTGAGGGGGATGTGCCATTTGCTCTTTACACCTATATCAATTTGTAGCACTGCATCCTTCAAACAGGCTTCACTCATGCGACTCGTCGCTTTGCTTCAAAGCCGACTCAGGAGGAGCATCACCTTTGAGACCGCCAAGTGTTCGAACAACGGCACGTGGCCCAGCCGTGCGCCTGAGATGACCGCTAAAGGACCGAGCCCGTGATGTTTGTGCACAAACACTGAGCTGCATCATGCCATGATGCCTTAGCACCTGCATAAAGCAATGATGAGAACTTTGCACTACCCTTTTCTTCCGTAGGCACTGTGGCTCCGAAGCAAAGGTGAGGGCAAATTAGCTTTTGGTACATGTCCAATGTCCTTTTATGTGGCCAAGTCTAACAACCCAGCTGGTTTTTGGAATACTTTAGCATGTAGTTGTTTGCCATTGCGTCCACTCCACTGCGTGTTTTGTCATTAACTCATTCCACATCCTCAGCATCATATCATAATATCAGTATACGTAGGTATTTGTTCATCAACGGGGTTGGGGGGGTGAAAGTGTGATTTTCGTGTTCACCGCGTGGTGTTAGAGTCGGTCTAGATGACTTGCAAGTGCCACGACTGGAGTGTCATGAAGCCTCACCGATCGTATAACGTGGTCATTGTCTTAACATTAACATCATCGCCCTTTCATCAGTGGTCCCACTTGACAGAGCAATTTGCATTTGGCAAGTCAGACCTTCCACTGGAGCGGGAGCGCTCTTTTGTCATGTCAATCGGTAAGAAACCAGCAACACCTGCGACAAAACGTGGCGCGCACGCTTCATCGTGATCACACGCCAGAACTGTCTTCACATGTGTCACGCTTCCCGAGACATATCGAAATCATCCGAAACTCATTCGTGTCTTGGCAGAGCTGGCGTTTCACGCTGACGGTGTCTCACGTTGTGGTGGAATGTGCTTGCCAGCATGCATACACAGTTCAACAAAACTACTGGTGACCGGCCATGTTAATTTCGAAGTTCATGATTCATGATTGACTATCATGCCGATTTCCTCGTTGGGCCCCACATCTTGTGCCAGAGGACACCAGGTCCTGGACGAGGTTGTGGTGGTCTTGAAGGAGTTTCCTGGTAGCTTGTCACCCGAAGAATGCTCGGAGACCCCGTCCAAGCCTCTATAGCCATTAGCTTGGGATTTGTATTCTAAGTGGAGGGGCCATATATTCTAACTCTATTTAATGACCATATATTCTAAGTGCATCTAAATGTTCGAACCCTATTCTAACTGATAGTCCAAGATAGTATACAAGTTGACTCAGTAACATGGAAGCCTCAGATAGCCTCAGATATGACCTTCCCAGCCTCAGATAGCCTCAGATATATGGCCTTCCCAGCCTCCACGCCTCAGAGATCCTTCGGAAACCTCCGACCCTAACCCCAACCCCCAACCCCTAACCTCCATCAAAATGGGTGCGTCAGGTGCCCCACCGCGAGGTCGGACTGTCCGGTCACGAATCCATAGAATTCATGAGGATCGTGTTCTTCCCGCTCTCCAAGAGTGCCAAGACACAGTCATACCACGTGGCTTTCAAGAGGTTCAATGGCACAGACCTCAGGATGTCCTGTTTTCTCTGGATTTTGCATGCGGGTTCATAGAGTTCATAGAGTTCATAGAACCAAACTTGGGGTTTGTGCCATCTTATTTCTCCATCCACTTATGGAAGTATTGGCCACCGGTGCCCATTACTTCAGCACCTCACCTGCCTTCGGATCACCAAACACCGAGGTCTGTCGCTTCGCTTGGAAGCCCACAGCAACGACAGCAACGCCTTGCGCGCCAAGGCGCTTAGTCAGCAACGCGCTGATGCGGTGAAAGAACAGCTGCGGAGCTGCGGCTGTACGCCACTCGACAGACGAAGTGAAGAGCTGCGGCTGTACGCCACGAACAGCCTCTTCGGTGAGCTGGAGAGGGAACCAAGTCCGATGGGTGACCCATGGTCGACCAAAACAGGCTCGCGGGAGGCTTGGAGGCTTGCAGGCTGAGATGCTTGTGTATGGTCCATGATGTGCTTGAACTTGATTGGCTTCAAGTTTCTCACTCATCTTCGCTCCCCACCCGGACCAACCCTCATGTTGTATCCTGTTTCCTCGTGGGCATAATGAATTCGGGTCATCCAATTGCCTGATCAGCGAGTGATACTCCATGAACAAAACCTTGACACTGGGCCATTGAAGACTAAAGGGCCCAGGACCTCTGTTCTTCTATGCTATTACGATGGACAGTCACTGAAGCTTTCAGCTCCTGTTTTGGACTCGCCAGTGGCGACTTTTCTTCGCCTTGTCGCTTCCACCGGACATCGGCGAAGGTCGAAACGACGGGCGTCCGAGGAACTGGATCACGACGGTGGCTTGGGGCATCGGCCATGTCATCAAGACACACGGCCGCGTTTCATCGGATTGGTCCAGAGGTGAAGAGGACAGGCCCCTGGGCCCCGTGGATGGCCCCGAAGAATGTCTGGTGGATGGTGCGCCAAAAAAAAGCATCAAACTTGGGGATTGTGCCATCTACTCTCCATCCGCTATATATATATTATATATTTCAAAAGAAAGGACTGCTCTGGGGGTGTTGTGGCGGTGCTTGGGGAAAGACATGGCGTCGAGCAGATCAGAGCATTTTCATGTTCGTGTGGAGGCATTCAGTAAGTGAACACATCCCGAAATCAGGATGACAGAGTTTGAGTGATTTACTGACTTACTGATTACTGATAAGTTTGTTATCACAAGTCCGAAATCAGTACTCTGTCAGTAAGTGAGCAAGAACCAGTACTCAGTACTGAGTTTGAGTTGGGAGTGGTTCACACCACCGTACCATGGTGTGGGAAGCGGCAGCCGCGTGAATTGGATCAACGACATCAGTCGATGAAGACGGCGAATTCGTGTGATCACCTTGGGCAAGTACTTCGTGCGAACCGGGGTCGTGGACCTGAGCACTTCGTGATCTCTTTTGGTGACCTCAATCGGGGATCTCAACAAGTCACTGTGAAGGTCCTTGGATGTCCTTGGCATTTTTTTCTTTGTGTGTGTGTTGTTTCTTTCGGTCTAAGGAAGAAGGTGGTGCGGATCTTTCCGCAGGTGGACCTGGAGACTCCGGATCTGCCTGCTTTGCTTCAACTCCTTGGTGAGACGAGGCTGACCGACGAAGTCCAAGATCAGGATCCGCAGGATCCGCAGGATCGTCGGGTGAGTCCGGTCTCGCACGCCGACGAGAACGCGGTCCCGCATGCTTTTGAATGCTTTTGAGACCCAGAAGGGCCGCTTTTGCTTTGGCATCGCTGGGGCCAAAGACGCTCTGGACAAAGCGTGGCCAAGCTTTTTCCGGAACTACCCCTGGCCTGGTGGTTAGATAATGGAAGGTCTTGGAAAGTCGGAGCAGCACAAAGAAAGACAGGGCCCAGGGCGATCTTTTTTCCTAGAAGGAGGCCTGTGCCTTCCTCCGGTGCTTGTTTAGAGGGCGTCCCAGCGGCGCTCGGCCCTCCTGGTCCGGTCCAGTGATTTTGATCAGGCAGTCTTAACGGGTCCACCGGACCCCACGAGTGGCGACTTTGTGGTGCCGCCGCACTCAATTTCATGAGATGTTCTAAACTCAGTGGTTTGCTTTCCGGACCCCCCCCCCAATGAAACGTGCTGTGTGCGGTGCTTAATGGAGAAATCCCTTTCATTTCACTTCCAGATTTGCCATACTTCTTTATCGATAATGATCTCGCTGTTGTATTGCGCACATCGCGCCGTGTTTGGACCGGCCGCCAGCTTCGACAAGCCAGGCCTCTCTAAGTAGGATGTCGCTTCGACCTGAGTCAATGACCCAACTCTCCAGCACCATGGGCACCATCAACAGCCTACGTAGTTCCCCAGATCTTTTCTCCAGCAATGTAACTGTAAAATACTGTAAATGTATGTACAGTAAATTTAATGTAGCAATCCAGCAGGTGTCCTTAATCCTCATTCTCTAGATCATTCTCTAGAAAAAGGGTTGAACGACCCCTCTGTGCTAATATCAAGGGGGTTATTCCAGCTATAACACTTTTTGAAGGATTCTACACGACCCAAAGCCAGGTCAAGCGACCTCTTTGAATGGATTGCTCGAATGTGAACTGCAAGCAAGTCAGCAAGTTCAAACGGTTCAGCACCACACGCCCCGAGGCCTGTGGGAAGGCGCTCGCCTGGGAAAGCGCCCTGAGTTTGCTGCGCGGTGCTCGAGGGGTGGCTCGACCGTGACGTGTTCCACACAAGGCATGACACCAGGACGTCAAGTGTGCAGGACTCGGAAGCGGAAGTGGACATTAGGGGGGACATGATCCACATGACAGTCATTGACCCCTCCGCCTTTGTGCACCCATTGTCGAAAGTATATGGAGAAGTGCACCTGCGTGTCACCGGGGGGATCTGTGTGACCTGTGTGTGCGAAGCATAGGGAACCCATGCAAACCCCAATGGATATAGAACATGAACATCCCGAGACTCCGTCGAGGTGGTAAAAAGGTTGGCGACGCGAATCAGCATTGGGTTGCTTAGATCTCACGTCATCCGCTCGTGGAATACGCCCTTTTTCCATTGCAAACCTGATCTTACACAACTCTTGGGCATGGTGGCGGCCACGTGTTCAAGAGGACAGAGATCGAAACAGTCCACCGGACCAGAATACTCTATATATATATAGACTCTAGACCCCAATGCAGGTAGACATCTCGTGCACATAGAGTCTTTCAGTCTTTCGATGTTTTTGATGGCTGAGTGTTTCCTCTTGCAGTTTCTTTGGATCATCGAGATTCATCGAGTTTCTTTGGAAACGGAAACATCACGAAACATATGAAATCCACTTGTTGATCCATACATGGTGTCTTTTTTCTCAGCTATGGTGGTATGGAAGCCACTTGTTTGTTTGGTTGCCTTGGAATCCAGCCTTTTAGATCCGTTTCTTCAGGCCATTGCGTTCAATGCGGCGATGGCTGGGTGCGGCGATGCGGGTGAGTGGTCCTGGACCTTGTGGCTCTTCGAGGCTGCGCAGCCCATAAAACGCAGCATTTGAGTCCCTTCTTACACATTCAGGACAACAACTTGTTTATAATGGTTTATATATATAGGATTGTTTTGTAACATGCCCCCAATCCAGCAGACAAGTGAGTCCACAGAAACACCTTGGACATTGTTTGACCATCACCCATGGACACCTGTTGGATGGTCCAGCTATGTCCAGCTGTCTTAAGGCTTAAAATGCACAAAGAAATCTAAGCAAACATTTTGGAGCACTCCTATTCTTAATATGCAAATATAATATGTATATAAGTCATCATCCGGCATTGCCTTCCCTTCTCACCTTCTCACCCCATACACGATCATAGCACCTCCCCTCCCCATGAGGAGATGCTCCGCCAGCAGCTCACACGGACAGAGATCTCATTTAACGTGGCTTGGGCGTGGCGTTGCGGTCTTCGGAGTGGCCAGTTGTTCCTGGGAGTCTTTGGAGTGGGGAAGCGGCTGCCGTGGCCGTGTGAAGTTGGAGGGATGGGTTCTTGTGCGGGATTTGTTTTTGATGTATGCTTATACCAGGAGTCACATTCTGGGGTGGTTTCTCGTCCCATCCAGTGGGTGGGTAATGGGGACCCCTATCCTCCAATAATAGGCGTTTTGAACGTTTTGTGAACTGTTTGGAATGATCAACATAAACGGTTTCTTCTCGGCTTGTCTCGGAGGGGTGTTTGGAGGACCACATCGCCAAAGACATGCCAAGACTTTTCTTCATCATGCATTTGCCTTGGGTTTGTCTCCTTACCGGGTCAACCAGTATCACTCGAGATGCAACCAGGCCCCATCATCCAATGTTTCTGGGGATCTGCGCCCCCACATCATTCACTCCACCTGTCCACCCAACTCTTTGCCGCGTCTTTGGTCCAGCGGCACGACCCAGCGCGACCCCGTCAAGGCATGTGTGAACGCCATGAGCTTGAGCCTCCGATGGGAACAAGCTCTCCAGATCTACGAGTCCATGCGCCCCAGCCACTCGATGGCATGCTTACTATAGACTATACCCCAGGCAGGACACATGGGACTGGCATTCTTGCCAACATTGGGGTGGTTGATGCACGGGGTCAATGTAGGTATACCTTTCGCTATTGTTTTCCCCCAAAGACGGGACTTTAGGGCGAGGTGAGAAGCTAAAAAGAAGCGGCACCTTTAGGCATCCCAACGGCGTCTTAAAGGCGTTTTTCCCTGCGCATGGATCTTAAGCATATCTGTGGAACCCTTAAAACGGCACTTTTCAAAAAGGGCTTTGACACAAATATTCGGCCTTTTGAAGATCATCTCCATGGTTTGTGCCCGGCACAAACCACACACCGGCACCGGCACAAACCACCAAGTGCGTGGGTCCGGGTCCAAGCCGCTGCATGTTTCTCCAAGCTCGCCAGCTCGCCATTTGAGGCCTCCTCCGGCCAGAAGCTTGGCACTTCTTTTTGTTCGGATGTTCGGCTCGCCGGGTTTCGGAGGTCTGGACCGTCGGAAGCACGGGAGGAGCGAGGTCAAAGCTGGTGGCACACGCCTTGCTTGGGGAACAGAAACCTTTTTCCCGTTCATGGAAATGCACGAAGTGGACAAAACCACAGATGCGAGCAAGGCCTTTTCAAACAAGACTATAGTATGCCTGGCTTGTGTTCTATTCATTTGGATTGGGCTGTTTGACATGGTGGCGCCACTCATGTTCTTCATCCGCTGCGATCAACCACGATTTTGGTGATGTGTGTTCCAATGACAAGGTGCCGTATATACATTCATTTTTAGGCGGACGGTGGACCTGTGTTCCCTAGGGCTCCTGGCCCACATCCGAAGAAGGTGGTTGGGATGGGTGCCAGGGGTGGTTTGTCCCTGAGTTTGTTCCCACCTTCTGTGGATGTGGGCCAGGAGCCCGGGGTTGGTCCTCAATTTGAACACGTGCCTCCACGGAATGCCGTTCTTTTCTTGCCTCGGTCCTCAAGGACATCCTCACCCTGAACGCATTGGTCCAAGGTTTCTTGCCCCTGATGCAGCTTGGAGCGCGCGCGCGGGTCTCCACGTGGAGCGAACGCGCGGTGACACGGTGCGTGGTATGGTTTCTTTTTTTTCAGCGGAGCGTCGAGAAGTGCAACAGGCATGAAACATGGGGAAGAATTCCGAAATGCCGCTTGTCTTTGTTTAGCCCTTCGCAGGTTGAAGGGCACCCCCTTCATCAGACTGACGCTATAGCTACGACGTATTCCCTCCTGAGAAGGGTAGAACGGCTGTTGCGAAAGGTCCAGTCCCCGAAGCCCAGTGTTGATCCCGTCATTGGTTCGGTGACTCCCCACTTGGACCCCGAAAACCACGCCCGGTTGGTAGAGGAAAAGGATGATTCCAGAGGGCTCCAACAACCTCCGTTTCGAAGCTGGTTGGGGTGGATTGTGGGGGGTCTAACCACCTTCTGAGGACATGGTTGGAGGAAAAGGATGATTCCACGAATCTCTGGGTCCATGGAATCGTTCGCGGGGGGTGGATCCTGGTGGTTTGGTCAAGTGGAAGCATCCTGCGTCGAGGAAATGGACGGCAGCTGTGGCACTTCTCGATGAACTACCTCGCATGAGCGTGCAGGGCAATGTGGTCACTGAGGACCTGACCCGTGGGTTCGGTGCTGCACCAGGTGTTATGAACTCTGGAGGCTCAAGACTGGAAGGAAGAACGTGTTCCATCGCTCAAGTCCCTTCAACATGGCATTCCGCAATCAACCCACCTCACAATAGTGCTTATTCCACCAACTGCTGTGACATCCCTACTAATGGCCCTAATTCTAGAAGAACAGGTTGTTTTATCCTCCTTTGTACTCCCCAAATTAAATCCTGTAGGTCCACTACGCTTTTTGAAATTGCGGAAACTAAACATATAGTTGTGTTGAGACTATATCAGACGTCAAGCACGAGGAAATAATTTCAAACATGATCTCTATGTTGGAGGGGGGGGGGGTTAGGAGACAGGAATTAATTTTGT